ATTGGGGGGAAAGGTAAGTATATTAATTTCCTTGAATTTATCTCTAAGAGATTCCCTACATTTTAAATTATAGATTGCACGAATAGCCCTCTTCTGCAGGATGAAAATAGTTTCGACATCAGCAGCATGACCCCATAATAATAAGCCATAAGTCATTAAGCTATGAAAGTAACTAAAATAAACAAGTCTAGCTGTATCGACATCAGTTAGTGAGCGAATTTTTTTACCGCGTAGGCTGCAGAACTAAGTCTCTTCGCCAATCCGTTAATATGAGGGGACCACTGAAGTTTTGAATCCATGGTGATTCCGAGAAATAAGTTGTATCATCAGATTCAATTCCTCACCGTTTATAATTGTCTAGTATCCATAAATTAATATTTAAAAAAATAGGTTGATTAAGGGTGAAAATTAGGTTATTATTTTAATTTATCAAAAAAAAATAAAAAAAAAAATTTAGGGGTGGACTACCCTAACATTTAGGGGATGAAAATAATTCCGATTCTCAGACATACCCAATATTACACAAAATTTCATGAGATCGGTCTAGCCGTTTCGGAGGAGTTTAACAAACACCGCAACAGTAATTTTATATATATATAGAGATTTATTATGGTTTCTCTATTTTTATTTTTATACAACTTATTTATAATCTCATTTACGTGGCTTCACTTAGACCAGGACTGACACGCCTGTAAATAGTGTAAATGTATAAAAAACTAAAAAAAAGGTGCATGTACTTATGTACGCGCGTTAGAAGTTACACATCTCTGGCATTATTAAAAATAGTTTTTGATTGCATGCAAATAATTAATTATAATTAAATAATCAAAGACTGGAAAAGGAGTCATTATAGTCAATAAAGTTCAGTTTACATTTGAAAAATTAAATAAATAAATATTTATTATTATTCTCACATTAAGTTTAACATAAATTCTATTATTATTCGAATGTTGTTTTTAAATTATATCCAATGCCGTAGCATCTTCCGTGGGCAACTTCATTCTGTTAATTTTGTGTCACGGTGCGCGCGCATCGTAAAATTTCACTCTCATCAATGTTTCATAAGGCGCCTAAAGAAGTATAACTTCAAAAATTTCTATAATCCGATATGATATTATATAAATTCAAGAGAATATAACCATACCTTGTCTCTTTTCTTTACCTGTAAATACCTTTGAAGTCTATTCTTAACTGAATATTGGAGCTGAAATTAATCCTCCATAGCTAATTAATTCATACCCTATCACTAGTGAAGCAGCCAGGCAGTGCTCGAGATTGAACGTAAACACAAGGCAAGGCTTTTGTCGGCCTCCACTTGATATTACTGCCTTCGTCGATTGCTATTTAGTGGGATATTGCAATATGCAATAGATGAGAATAAAGATAACATTACTAAGATATGGGGTTCGTCAGGAAAACTTTCGTAATTCCACTGCATTGTTGATATTTGTGATAACTCTTTATACCTATTATGCAAAAGCCATCAAGCAGACACTCTTAGTTTTATTTCTGCGTTTTAACTCAAATAAGAAGAGAATTCTGTATCTGCCAAATTAAAGCAATGCTTGTATTACTGAGAATCGAACCTAACCCACGAAGGCACATACATATTAAAGTTTGAGACCATAATATCTTTATATATATATATATATTCTTCTGTGAGTGTGTATGTCACTGAACTTCTCTCAAACGACTGGACCGATTTTGATGAAATTTTTTGTGTGTGTTCAAGGGGATCTGGGAATGGTTTAGATTCACAAATCAGCGCGGCAGATGGCACTGCAGTCGGTACTTTCATACTTTGCTTAATATCCTAATCGCTTTAAATATCATGCAGGACAACGTCTGTGGGGTTCACTAGTTAATTTATATTAAATCTTCATTAGTTTATACAGTATAAGTATTTACATTATGTATGTGACGTAACAGGGCATAGAGCAGAAATTACTTAGACTCTTTCAACTATAGTTTAGACTTTACTGGTACTTTGGACCGTGTTTATTGTGAAAACATGGAGACGGGCAAATTGAGGTATAATAAAACATCAACAATCTGATTTTGATTTTAACGAGCATTGCGTCTGACATACTCGTTACTCTCAAATTAACCAGGTTTATTATATATGAATGACTGTCCGTTTAACTTAGCCACTGTGAGTATATTTTACTCAAAATCTTTCATATTTATGTAAGAAAAAGATTAGGGAATCCTATGTATAGTACCAACCGATTAGCCAGTGAAAGGATAAAACCTCGTCTGATGTTTGCTAACATACATCTACACGTTGTCTGTTGAGTGCTTTACATTTTCAGCTATAATTTCTAAATATAGCCAGAGTTCTTTTCAGATTGATTTTTTGAGGACTTCTCTATAATATTTTTATCTCTACGAAAGCCTTGAAACGCACTCAAAGATCTTGTGATAAGTAGTCAAAGATCAATATTATGTTATTATTATTATTATTAAGAACACAATTTGTTAGTAATAATGGGTCTTGATCGCAGCTTCTCTCGCTTCTTTAGGATCTATTTTCTGAGGCAATCTGCGTCATGCATACACTTTGCCAGAAGGCTAAAAGAATTGGTATACTCTTAAAAGGTCTAAGTCGAATTTGTTCGGCAATACCTCGACGGGTTCCACAGTGTTTGCAGTGCAAAAAGTGTCTATCGCTCAGATATGGAACGACGGATATCGAGGTATGAGTACCTGTTTTTTTGATCATTTTCTTTGTTTATACAATGAGTTAATCCTTTAGTGACACACTGCGTGAGTGCTATCCTAAATATAAGTTCATAGTCAAGTCTTAGCGATGTGACACCAGAGTAATGCTTAGTCCCCTAAGTCGTACCCTAAGACGTCGGTTTCCTCATGATATTTATCTTAGGTGTACGATTTTTCGCACGTAGAAAGAAAAATCTAGAATTGAATGCACGTTGCGTTGAATCGCTTAAACCACTTTTGTTATATTATTTGAACTTAATTAAAAAACGTTTTTGATCAAATGGTTTTATTTCAAAATGCACACAAATTATGATACAAATATATTACCAGCAAAGTACCCTAGTATAGACGTAAACAAGATGTTCACATTGTAAAATAATATACAATTTGGCTGAGTAGCCTCTGCCTAAAGTATTCGAAAAACATTACCTACGGCCGAATAAAACAATGTCGTATAAAACTTATTGATAGCTTAATTTTAGAGATTTTGCACGGGTTAATTTTGATACTTAATACTTCATGTTTAGTCAATTGTATCAGTTTATCGATCAATTATTTCTTAAAACAGAAAAAAAAACTGCAAAAAGAACGAATCTGTTGGAACAGGTGATACAAGACAATTTAAAGTGTATAAAATATACGGCAAATTCATAATTTTCTTCGAGAAATGTAAGCTAGTTTGGTTTTCATGTATTTTAAAAATTGTTTATTTTGCAGTGCTTAGTATAAACAGCATAGAGACGTCAGAATAAAAATATATACGGACGGTTTTGATATGCATTTAAATAATTTTTTCATAAAATAAGTTTTAATTGCGAAGTTTATAATTAAATAATTAGAAGTCGAGTCCTTCTAGATTTCTAATTAATGGTTTAAAAACTGTGTGCGTAGTAAAACTCGTGCAGAAAAGCAGTCGTTTTCGTTATACACTAGTGGGCAAATAGTTCAGGACTGTTACAATTTCATTATAAATTTTGTGTTTTTATATTTCATGCCAGTCTTTAAAGAGTTTTCCATGACGTTGTTTTAAATGACGATCCATAAGCTTTTAAGTTTATTTAACGAAGTTTGGACATTCAATTGTAACAATCCCGATATGCGTTGTAATACAGTAAAAAAGGCAGTTAACACAATAATTATACTAATAGTACACACTTCAGTCTTAGTCAGTAGTTCTCTTAATAATACCTTTGAGATCTTGATATAATTAAATTTATCATTCATAGGTTATATAGTTGAAGATATTACTTATTCTCAGATTAGAATAATTTATCAGCTTAATATTTTAAATAAAATACACTTTATTTATTTAAAACACGATTTATTATAATTAAATTAAATATAACTGTAAAACTGGCAACAATCGGATGTTCTGTGTGTCTTTTTTTGGATTTAAGACATGCCGGTTTGCCCACGAAGTTTCTTTTACCGTACGCGTAAATGGGCACATAGACAGAAAAGCGATTGTTGCACAGCCAGGAAAAGCACGCTAAAGTGAAACGCAAAGTGTATTTTATATAAATACTAGTGTAGAAGTAGACAACATTCTTTGGAATATACTTATAGACATCTTTACTTATTCTGATGTATCTGAATTAGACTAAAACTTTTTTGTTTATCAAAAGTAATCATGAATAGGTTCAAACAACATACAAACCATATCAAAGTTGTTTTTTTTTTAAATTATTATAAATTTACTTCTTTTATTATAGAAAAATTAGACAATTTTAAAAGTGCTGCTGGGCGTAGTTCGGAAAAGACGTTAAAACTAAAAGTTTTACAAAACTGTAAACAATTGTATTCGCCTTATACAATAATCACATACATTTAATACATTCATTTCATGAGAGGATACGCATTAGAGATTTTTAGTCAAAAGAAAAATTTACAGCAGAATAAGCACCCATGAATTCGTAGTAATATCATAATCAATGTTTAGAGAGCCACTTTGACACAAATCATATACAATATGTACATTTATTAAATTAACATTAACTAGTAAGTACTAAATCCCTAATCCATAAACGTACTATATAATTCAAATAGCTATAGAATCTTTTCTCCTTATAACTCTGTTGTCTTTGAACTCGTGACGTTACTAATTTAGATTTATAGTACGTGCATGAAAAATAACATAAACACTTAAAAATTACACTCTTTGACATCAGTTTTAAAGCTTTAAAATTTTAGGCTTATTAATCTTCTAATCGAATTCCTTAGGACCGAATACTTTTAAAGTCACAACTGCGTTGTTTCTTATACATAAATAAACTATTGCATCACACATGAGTTCCCGTTCCATTGCCTGTTAAAATAAAGTATAGTTTAATATCTAAAACATTAAAAAATATCGCTCAATTTAACTTTACAAATGAAATCCAAAATATAACAAATTTAAGCTACTTAAAAGTGATTTGTTACAAGTTTTTCGTTCGCAAGTGTATGATTTGATATCTTTACCTTTAGTTAATTTCGACGTCTGCAAACCTTGGTTCGTTGACAGAATATAATGGGCTGTCTGCGACGTCTTAGACACCTTTGAACAAAGTTTTATCTAAGTAAATTGTAGTTTATAAATTTTACGTACCTATATATTTCAGACAGTGTGAGACTTAAAATAATTTACTAACTGTCGATAATATTATATCTATAGACACGAAGAGTTGTATTCTTCTAAAATACCATAGATATTAAACTTGATTAATTTAATACACCGCTGGATTATAAAAAGGTATTCCAACGGGGACACTTTCTATTTTATTATAAACACAGAGTTTTTGAAGTTATACTTCTTTAGGCGCGTTATGAAAAATTGATGAGAGTGAAATTTTACGATGCGCGCGCACCGTGACACAAAATTATCAGAATGACCATAATGACTTTTTTTCCAAGAAATTTAGCAATGCTTTTTCACAAAGACCTATTGTTACTTAGTTAAAAGGTTATAAAACATACCTAGTTATTAAATTGAATTAATAATATAATAAAATAGGAAATAATAATAATAATTATTATTAATAATTGAATAATATACTAAAATATATTAGATATTATTAAATTATTAATGTTAAATATTTATTATAATTTTTTAATAATTAAAAAAAGTAAAGAAAGCCAAGGAAGTATAACTTCTTACACGCGTACATAAGTACACGCACTCTTTTTTTTATTGATTATAATAAAATAGATAATTCTAATTAAACCGAAATAATTTTCACGGTGTAAATTCACGTATACTGCGGCATTATTTTAAAATACGCACACGCCATGTATCTATTATAATATTAAGTGGCAGCTAGGTGAGGGATACCGGGTTCGATTCCCTGTTCGAGGGCAAGTTTTAATTAATTTTAAATTTGTTCTCGGCCTTTGGGAGGGTTGTGCGGTACCGGGCGAGTGCCTAAAACCGTACATGGAGGACACGGTCGAATTTCTAAAGACAAGCACGAATTATACAAAAATCCTATACTTGACGCTGGCTAATGCACAAATCGTGCCAGAGCCATTAAAAAAAAAGTATCTATTAATTCTGTTTAAAAATAGAATTGGATCGCACCCTCACATTTGTTCCTATTTCAAAAATAACTCCATAAACCACCCCTGTGAGGGAAATATCTCGTTATCCTATAAATAGAGAAATCAGAGCGACCCTCCGGGGTAATTGCACTTGAAGAGTCAATGCGTGCTCTAAGTGCGTATAGGGGTAATGTCGTTACGTACTAAGGTGACGATTCGACGCCTTAAACGTCAAAAATGGTTATTTGAACATGTATATTTAAATTCTACGAGAAAAGGGAAGTTATTTTAGGATTTTATAAATATTTTTAACAGACATTAAAAAACTCTTGTATTTTTTTGTGTGTTTACTTTGCTCCTCCGTCAGCCCGATCTGAATTATCTAAGTGTCCAATGATTCGGATTTGCCGCCAATGTTCACAGGGATTGATAGTTAGAATAGTAACTGAAATGTCTCGTGAATTCCTTATTTGCTTATGGTGATTTGGAAATGATTGTATTATTTGGTGTTTAAGTCCAGATGAAGTGAACGAACCCGTAACCCAATGGAGTCTGGTTCAATTTTAATATATATATCGTTTGCATTTACGATATTTAGCAAGCAGGTTGATTGCTCCAATCTTTTAACAAAATTTAAAATCGTGTACCCTCAATATACCCCATGCATCCCATCATTAAATTTGCCCCTCCTTTCCCAAGATCGCGTTTTGCCCAAAACTCACTGAGATCCAGATTGAGCATCCTGATAAAGAAGCTAGGTCTGAAAAGTTGCTCCCCTCACACTTGGAAATCGATTTTCGTTTCGTTCTTAAAATTTAATTGTTTGTATATCTTCGTGTATATTATGTTTGCGTATAAGTGCTTGTTACATTAAAAATTGTAGTTTATTGTTTTTGTACTAATGTATCTGTGTGCCAAACGTTGGCAAGCTTTTATAAATAAATAAATTATAACTATTAAGTTAAGATTTTGGAGTAGTCGAACCTACGAGCGTTTTGCGTTTGCCACATGGAAGCGATAGCAATTTGTAGATTGATGTATATTTTCAAATTAGATTCAACGAATAACATAGGCATAATGACGTAGGCAAATAAAGTCAAGCGGATTTTTAATAAATCAATAAAGTATGCTACTAAATTATTAAACTATCTCGATCTTTTCTTCCGTTCTACGCCCTTGATTTGAGACCTGGCAGTAAATGTAAAATTAGAAGCGTGATTTTTAAATAGCATTATGAATAAATGATTTTAAATTTTGAATATTTGATAAATAACATTGAAAAGAGTAAATTTTTTTTATCACGGAACCACTACACAGCGTGTGAGGACACGGTGAAGACTAGCGTTTGTATGATTTAAAACAACTTGTTTTTTTTAATTAAAAAAAGAAACATATTACGTCACACGAATAAATAAAAACCCAATATCAAATTTATCCAATAATAACGCATAATGTTTTGCATTGTTCAATATATAAGCTCAAATTATTTTGGTGAACACAGGATTGTCAAATATTTAATTAAATAGAGTAAAAATTATGCGCTGATATACGATTATCAACTTTACAGTATAGCGATAGAACTTACTTGTGGTTGAGCTGGTGATGGATTTCCTGTGTGACTCGTAACGGGCAGTGATGATGGAGGCGACAACGAGAGGCCTAAAAATTATTTAAATCTAATTAAAGTGTTAAAAGGTACAACACTACTGATTCTTCTGACTACTATATATAATTTTAAAAAATTAGGAAAGTACGCACATTTGCGTAATACATATACAACACACTATTTTTAGTATTGAAATACACATTAATAATTCAAAATAATTTTATAAATGTCAAGTAAAAAAAATGTAATAAAAAACAAGATGCAACGTTTTTTGAATGTAAAAAAATTGGCCGACACTATGGTAGCAGTCAAAATACTTTTGAATCATAAAGATAAATAAAGAATTTACCAACATGTATGAAAGACGTTACTGTATGGAAGCAGTGTGGACTTAGTTACTCTCTAGACATGTCGTAATATATAATTATATATTAGCGCAACTGGATTATAATTACGTAATGGGATGGCCCAAATTAAATTTGGCAAAGCGAGAATTTCATGTAGACATGAAAAACAAAACGCTGTGAAGAATAACAATGGTTGTTTTTAAGTAATTTGTACCTGACTGTTGATGAGAAAGACTTTTCAATGTGTAATATGGTGGTGGTGCATTCTTTGACGATGTGTTTGGTTGTGGGGCATACGCTGCAACAATTAGAAGAAAATATTTTAAAAATTATTGGAAAGTAATAAATGATTTTCCACGTAATTTTTTTGAATATAAACCAATTTTGATGACTTTTGAACTGTTTTTATAAACTTGATACCAATCAAAAATAATATCTCCTGAATGAACACTAACAACCTGAACCAATACTATTCAATTCCAACAATATGTAGGGCAAACTGATAACCTCCTTTTTGAAGTCAGTTAATGAATAAACGTTCTGTTATGTATTGATCATATTGCTGTATATTAGTTATTTTATTCAAGAAACTGTAAGTTTCTTTAGCTCTTTGCACTAATTGGACCTTAGAAACTATCTCAAACTTGCTTCAACTGTAATATAATTTCATATAATGTTCGTAACCTAATACAAACCTGACCTGTATTCCAAAACTATGTAATCTAAATCAGCTAATATTTTCCTTCTAATGATAGTAGTTTTGTGCCACGCGCCTGAACCAATATGCTACGACGGCGATACATCTAAGTGCTTTATTTTAGACAAGCGACCCACCCCGGCTTCACACGGGTATAAAATATATAGCCTATGTTACTCACTGAAAAATCGATCCAGTAGTTTTGATTTATTCATTACTGAACTTCATTACGTTAAATTTGGATATTTGGATAAATCTCGTAGGGTTCAGCCTGCGTTTGCAATGTAAGCGGAAAAATTTAATTATTTACGACATCACATTAGAAACCTCAAAAATAGCAGTATTTCTCCACTATTTAATGGATGTTATTATACACATACACCTTCCTCTTCAATCACTCTATCTATTAAAAAAAACCGCATCAAAATCCGTTGCGTAGTTTTTAAGCATACATAGGGATATAGGGACAGAGAAAGCGACTTTGTTTTATACTATGTAGTGATTGTACAAACAATTTTTTCTCATATAAAGTAGTTAACACATCCCTCCCCACACTTACCAAGTCCGGGGCCATTTCCTGTCAAATACGGATTTCCGTATGTGGCTGCGTACCGAACGTCCACTCCCGACATCAACACTCCAGGGTTTGACATTGGAATCACTAAAGAAATATATATGATAAACAAATTTAGTCACTCCCGAAAAATGTATGATGTCACGTATTAATGCGTGTCTATCACAATATATTGAGTGAATTCTTCGGCCTTAATATATATGCAAGATAAAACGACTAGTTGACCCAACAAACGTTGTTTTGCCATAGTATATTTCTAGGAAACATTTTTTTAGTTCATCTAAACAATCTACTATAATAAAAAATAGGGGTTGATCGTAAAAGGGTGAAAATTAGGGGTTATATGTATTTATGTATGCTGTATCATAAAATTAAAAACAAAAAAAATTGTCTAAAACATTAAAAAATTTTTTTGGGGTGGACACCCCTTATCACTTAGGGGTTTGAAAGATAGATAGTAGCCGATTCTCAGACTTACGGAATATGCATAAAAAATTTAATACGAATCGGTCGAGCCGTTTCGGAGGAGTATGGGAACGAACATTGTGACTTGAGAATTTTATATATGACTAGCTGACCGGGCAAACGTCGTTTTGCCATATATATCATTTATAATAAAAAAATAGGGGTTGATCGTAGAGGGGTGAAAGTTAGGGGTTTGTATGTATTTTTTAATGCTGTATCATAAAAAAATAAAAACAGAAAAAAATATCTAAAAATAAAAAAAAAATATTTAGGGGTGGACTACCCTTAACATTTAGGGGGATGAAAAATAGATGTCCGATTCTCAGACATACCCAATATGCACACAAAATTTCATGAGAATCGGTCGAGCCGTTTTGGAGGAGTATGGCAACGAAAACTGTGACATGAGAATTTTATATATGATTAGGACATTTCGCACTCTTAAAGCAACAGGTTGATTTGAACAATTTTATATAATACTAGATGACCCGGTGAACTTCAAATAACCTATTATTATTTATGTCAAAACTTAATATTTTTTTTTACTAACTTTTTAAAGGTAACTTGTATATCTACCTAATGATATTTTGAGACTTCAATATATTCTTTTAAAAAGGTAATAGTGAAAATAAAATAAAATCAATTATAAAGTTAATACTTACAGTCTGGTCCGACCATGCCACTAAGTCTCCCACAGCTCTGCTGTCGGTGTAGCGATCCACAGTGACTCTGGTAGGTCCGATCGGTACTCCTAGATAGCGATCCTGTATGTGAATCGTTGGAGGGCGGCGCATAATCACGCGAATAGTCTACGTATGGTACGTACCCGTTTGCTTGTGTTTGGCTCTGCAAATGTATTTTATTTTAAGGTTTTAAATTTATTAAATTGTTAAGGGTCTGTTTCACAATGTATGGATAAAGTACCAAATATATGCAACACATAAATTATTTGGAAGATAAATTGTGCATCGGACTCATAACTTTTGATGGACTTTATGTGACGAATAGCGCTATCTGACAATCGTGAAACGCAACAATAGTGTTTATCCTACCAATAAGTAATAAATAGCTAATTCGGAACTTATCCGTACATTGTGAAACAGACCCTACATGTAAAAAGTTATTTTCGGTCATTAATTTTTAATATTTAAAGTTTTCTAACAACTGAGTCAGCGCTTTTGACGAAATTCCCGCAAATTAAGTTTAAATGTCTAGTACCCGTAAAACAATGAAAAATTCTATTTAAGTTATTGTTTACATACGTACATAATGAACTTGACTTAAGACTTTTATGATAAAACTATAATAAGCCATACGGTGATACTGAAGATTTGGGGTCGAGAATTACCGCTAAGTTAATACTTAGCGGTAATTCTAGACGTAATCTTCCATATGTCAAAAACGTATTAGTCAAACGGGAATCATACTTGGCGTTAAGTGACTTAAGTCGACTCTCAGTCGTCCTATTAATCATTTTCTTAGTAAGTGTTCTTCAAGAACTCGCTTTCTTTGTATCTAGGGGATATGTACGATGGCGAAGACTGTTTGCGATACCAAGGGACAGAACAGTGCTATATCCGACACTATCGACATATTTATATATATGAAATAATCGTATTGGTTTAGTATTTTTGTGAAAACAATAAATAAGATAGTTCACAGGTTCTAGGATCTATGGTGAACTTATTAAGTATAGCAATTTATGATTATATAATAAAAATCCCTGCGTGTATGTGTATGTATGTGTATGTTATTAGCGTCAAAGTAACAAATGCACCAAGAATTCACTAACACAACATAAAGCAACAAAACCGGGTCATTCTCGTTTGATTAAAACATCAAGTGAAACACAAAGCTGGCTTATCCGCACTATAATATGACGTCATATTTCAACAGAATTTCGCGAATGTACACTATTAGTGCAAGTCACGACTCTACCGCATAGAGGACAGTGATAGAATTTTTGGTCGTTTGTTTTGTCGAGATTGAGTAAAACTATTTGACCGTGAGCAAAGCTGATGAAGTATAATGTTAAAAGAGCATTCCAAAATTAAAACGAGTCTATTTCGTTGCAAAAATAGCAAAAACAAAAGAACGTTTGACACACAACATTTCTAAGTCTTGACCATAGGAATCACCTATCCAATAGCTTCAGACGTATCCCATAAGTTTGCTCCTGACATTCGATGTTTGAAGTTCGAATTTTCCACACGAAAATTGTTTACAATAATTGCTTCATTAATTGTTATTTAAAGTTAGTCTCAAATGGAAATAGAAAATGAAGCCTGTGCCCGACATTCTTCAATCAGAGCGACATAGACATAAAATACAGAATAGACGCTGAATTAAAATAAATTTAAAGTTCAGTACAGAACTACAATATAAATTTAAAATTGTCGCAAATGTGAATAATAAGAGTTCTCAAGATATAATACAAAACGTGACTAAGATATCAAGTGTTAATGTAATTTCGCTGAAACTGGGTCATTAAAATTGTGCTCAACTTATAACAGTTTTGTCTTGCCCAGGTCTGTTGAGAATTCCTTGAAATCGTCTCCTGACAAAGATCTGTGGCGTGCGTTTGAATGTTATACACCAATGGGGTTCTAAATGTGCAACACGTGCTTTTGATGAAAGTAAACATAATGAGGAATGTATTAGAAACCGGACGTCATCTATATAATTGTGTATTCCAAACCCAAGCTTAGTGGCAAAATTATATAGTTTGGAAAAGTAATTAAATATGTGTGACATGTACAAAACGCCGCTGTAGAATGACAACCACCAAAAAAAAAAGAGTAATTTCGTCAATGTTCGTTAAAATATTATTATGTTTTTTGTCCATAGTTATGGATGGTAAAATGGACTTATTTATTAACTAGCCGTTTCGCGCCCGCTTTGCTGGACGAATTAAAATAAATTTTATGTTTCATTATTTTATTTTTTTTCATATTTTTATTATTCTTCTTTTTAACTTCCCACTAAGAAAATTGAAATATTTCGAAAATCGAGTTTTTAACAGATGTTGACGTTTAGAGGTTCTAGGAAGCCTCCCCGAATGTTTCCGCGGTGAAGTCCGTATGGATAAATTTTCATAAAAGTAAAACAGCAATAAAATAATGAAGGAACGTTGGAATTTAATAAATAAATCGCATCGAATGGTGGTAGTTTCATGTCGATACGATCAGTGGTTTAGGCGTGAAGGAGCCTCAAACGAAGACCATTTTTCTTTTATATATATAGATAACATAAATAAGTCCTTACTTCATGATTATACCAGTTAAATGACATAAGAGTCTAAGAATAAAAAGTAAATGGTTTTTGACATACGAGGTTATCATTCTACAGCGACGAAAAGTAGAAACGAAGTGGGTTACACATAACAAAATACATAAGCTTCTATGTCTACACACGGCTTGCCTCGTCATTTAACATTTACGTCCATGTAAAACAAAATAAATTCAAAATACGGAATCTTGAATGAAAATTAAATATTAGTGGCCCTAGTAATTACCTTGTATTGTAGGTTGCTAATTGGTTGGTGAAAATCGCCGCTGTACCGGAGTTGATCATCATACGATTCTGGTAGTGGTACTGGACCAGCCAAAGGCAGCCCTAGATTCGTTGTGAGATGTATTGTTGAACGTAAGTCGGTTTCCGATTCATGTGAGGTGTCCTAAGAATAATAGTTGATATAACAATAATGTCTCCATAATTATAACGCACATGTGTAGATGATCTACCCAAGTAGGCTTTAACAAATCATCAATAAAGCAGACGCAGAAATATGTCTGTCTCAAATCCTATCAATGGGTTTTGAGAATATAAGAATTTATGAAAAACCTTTAGACCTTGCATAGCACGCAAACCGTCGAATATACTTTTATTAGTCAAGTCAAATTAGCATATCAAAATATAATTAAAACATTAAAATTTTGTCTATGACAAAAATTATAATCTAAGAAATCAACCCATTATAAAAGTATTAAACATTAAATTAAACATAGATGTAATTTTGTGATATACGCATTATATTATTTATTCTGAAAAAAACCCAAGCGCACTGTAAGAAATAAATGTATTAAGTATTTGTTAGTTCATATGCATCGAATTTTAAACCCTCTGTTTATACAATCAAGATGGCTGCCGTGTCCAAAAAACTTACCATATCACAGCTTCCCTCAATTTGTCGAAGTTCCAATTTCAAATCGCTGATGTTCGAATTTCGATCGCTCTCTTTATACGGGCAACTCTTGGCTACGTCAGTCAAATCCGGTTTTTTGACATCACACTTATTATTTTTACGATGACACAGCATCACAGCGAACATAATGATGAGAATTATGATGGTTAGCGATGAAGCCCCAGCGATGATGACCATAAGTGATGAAGATTCTATCAGAAGAGAAAGTGAATGTAAGTTACCTCTATTCAAAAAAAGGGTGCGTGTACTTATGTACGCGCGTAAGAAGTTATACTTCTTTGGCATTATTAAAAATAGTTTTTGGTTGCATGCAAATAATTAATTACAATTAAATAATCAAAGACTGGAAAAGGAGTCATTATAGTCAATAAAGTTCAGTTGACATTTGAAAAATTAAATAAATAAATATTTATTATTATTCTCTTACATTAAGTGTAACATAAATTCTATTATTATTCGAATGTTGTTTTTAAATTATGTCCAATGCCATATGTTCCGTGGGCAACTTCATTCTGTTAATTTTGTGTCACGGTGCGCGCGCATCGTAAAATTTCACTCTCATCAATTTTTCGTAACGTGCCTAAAGAAGTATAACTTCAAAAATGGAGGGATAAAAAGGGTACTTACTGTCGGGAACCAAATGTATCAGCATATTATCAGAGCCATACGCGTTTACAACTGTGCAGTTGTATTTTCCAAAGTGTTTTATTTGACTATCTCGTACGATTAACGTTGATTTTGTCAAACGATCCGCTAAAGTTTCTTCAAGAAATACGTATTCCTGTAAGGCAAATCTTTACTTAGGAATGTACAATTGTTTTTAAGTTATTTTTAAAAATGAAAATAACTTAAACACATCGTCGGCTGGTCATAAATTATAACAGATTTTTATTTATTTACTTATTCATAAATTCTAAAACAAAGTGTATGCCTAAAAAATACAAGAAAATATGACATCAAATTTAACACACATACACATGAATTACATTAGAACCTAAGCAATCTATCAAAGGAAAAAATTTAAAAAATTAAACAGTGGTTCCACAAAAAAAAAATTAATAATAACTAAAGAGATAAAAAAAAAACAATAACGGTATTAAAAATTTATGAGTTATAGATACACTTTTGTCCGTTATATATGTTAGAAGATCGAAACATTAATGAAAGATAAATTTAATGATGAATAATCACATATTTACGATTAAGCGAAGAGCGTAAAATTACTATAAAAGCTTCTAACATATTTATAATGAAAGTACGTGTAATCCAGTGTCCATATTAATCCCTTAATCCTTTTAGGGATGGAATTTTCAATATCCCTTCATAGATGTTAATAAGATAAATCAACTTCCGAAATTCCAAGTTTCCAGCCCTTGTGGTTTAGGCTCTGCATTGATGAATCGGGATTATTATGTGTATTATACAATCAAGATGGCTGCCGTGTCCAAAAAACTTACCATATCACAGCTTTCCTCAATTTGTCGAAGTTCCAATTTCAAATCGCTGAGGTTCGAATTTCGATCGCTCTCTTTATACGGGCAACTCTTGCTACGTCAGTCAAATCCGGTTTTTTGACATCACACTTATTATTTTTACGATGAACAGCATCACAGCGAACATAATGATGAGAATTATGATGGTTAGCGATGAAGCCTCTAACATATTTATGATGTTATTTAGTAGAATGTTGGGATTTTTTAAACCCATAAATTTGCGTCAAATATTGTCTGAAAATTGGATGTATCTGTTGTGTGGCAATAAGGCATTCTTTGCCTGCTTGAATGAGAAAAAGTACATGGCGATACTGCACATGTCGTAAGAGTTAAGTTTTGTTGAGATAAAATCTTCATAGATTTAAAAGCCTCTTAAACAGCCTTTTTATGTGGGATATCACGCAAACTGCCCTGACGACTGCCTTCCCTCCATAATATCGAGTAAATCTTCTGATATTTAACTAATTTATTATATTCTTTCTCATCATAACATTCCATAATTTTGCAATTCGACATGGACTCTATTTTCAGTTTTTCTTTTAGATTCTTTGTCAATGTCTTCTAAAGATTTAATTCAAGGATTGTTATTTGATACAAATGTTTCTTAAACTTGTGTGATAAAGGACTCCCACACAAAACTGCGATGCGATGCGATGCGAATTCGCATCGCAGGAATTTGCGATGCGAATTTCTGCGATACGATTTAGTGCGTCAAACCGTTTGGTAGGGCGACCATTCCTTCGAAGCCAGCCGTACTGAACGTGTTTTTAAGAAGCGTAAGATGGATCGCAAAAAGATTATTGCACTGCTGTTATTGTTAAATAGATATAAAAGAAAAAGAAGATTCTGGGTTCATCCATTCATTACGATTATGAACTCTGATGGGAACTATTTTATTCAAAAGTACTATGCGTTGAGAACTGAAGATAATTTTTTTGATTATTTTTGAATGAGCATATTTTCATTTGAAGAGCTTTTGAGTATATTATCACCATGCCTTCAAAAACGATCGTACAAGGGAAGAATTCTTGTTATGCCTTTGGAAATGCTGGGACTGACTATCAGGTAAAGTAAAACAAAATTTATTTATTGACATTTTAATTGTTTGTCTCAGAGCGGACTAAAATGGTGTCACCAAGGATGACGTAAAATCGCAGGAATGTGCGATGCGAAGCAGATCGGAAATTCTTGCGTTGCGTTCGTGCGAATTCGCAGATATTTGCGATGCGATGCGAATTCGCAGTTTTGTGTGGGAGCCCAAAGATGAGTCCGAAAACCATAGTCTTACGCGAAACAGCTGATCGATGTCGGCCATGTTTTTATAAAGCCATTAAAGTATGGTCACTAATTAGACGAAACTATTCATAGTCAATTCACCAATACCACTCCCTTCATAGCGAAACGCGAGTTTTTATGAATAAAGTTGATTACGTAGCATGCCCTTATTAGTTACACTTACTTGATTGTGAAAAGAATTAATTTCAGCCCCTTCAAAGGCCCACATAACAAGATCGGGCTTCGGAACTGAGAAGGATATACACTCGACTCTAACACTATCTCCCTCTATCCCATATTGAGTGTTATTGGAGACTATTTTTGGAGGTCCTGCAAAGATAGTTTATTTATAACATATATTTATAGATTGGAAAATTATTACTAAAGACTTTTTAAATTAGGAACGTAATATGAAATATGTGTGTGTGTGAGTGATTTTTTTGAGCCCCTAAAGCGATTGCAATCCCTGAACATTAAAGTCGTTCTCGTACCGTGCGAACTCAAGCTACAACTATGCACTCAAGCGACGCCGATGCGGCACCAGGCCGATTTCAAGTGTGAAAACTAGAAGCGTAGTATTCGTTTAAAACAGTCATATAATAACTCAAAAGTATTTGAGCCGAACGAAATGATCAGTTCAGCTCGAGTTCGGACGAATTCGATTTTTGAATGATGAAGTTACATTGATTTCCCACAGATTATGGTGCGAAACGAACCAGGGGCAAACACAGTGACAGTGAATCTGTGGAAGGACCTGTCAGATGTTTACCTAATTTGGTCAAAATCGTCTCGTGTTGGCGGTTCATGCAACTACTCGTGGTTCGAAGAAATATATCGCAAATACTTATGAAAATGTTTTGGTGTTGATGTTATAGAGACCTTATATTTGAGATCAACTCACGAAGTTCAGTTTAAATAACATTTCATATATATCAACCATATAAACGGAAACTAATCTTTACTCATAAATTTTACAACCAGTTTCCTATTCAGACAAGTTAAAACTGACAACCGCAAAACTTTCCTTTAGTTTACTGTGGTTATATACATATAAAATTAATATAACAGTCTCCTAACTTTGAATACCTCGTCTCCATTGTGGGATAATATTTTATTTCAAATTTAAGCTATCTAGTCACATCACAAACTCAAAATATCTTTATTCATATAGTTAAACAAGTTCACTTATGAACGTCAAAATAGAAGTTAAATTAATTGTAAATTTAAATTTACTACCAGTTCGCAAGTCAAGGGCGGGCAAGAAGAACTGGCAAGAAACTTTCCGCCACTCTAATGTATAGGATATATGAGAATCTATGCGATAGTTCAGCGAATTCAATAAAAATGAAACAGTCTTGTCTATGGCACCATGTGGTTTGCCAGCACATGTAATGTAGTCGCAGCAAATCAAAGTACATACAGGCTATAGTCCAAAATAAAATCTCTTTTTTTAGTTACAGGAGGCAAACGGGCAGGAGGCTCATCTGATGTTAAGTGATACCGCCGCCCATGGAAACTCATATTGCCAGGAGGCTCGCAAGTGCGTTCGCAAGGCCGGTAGCCTTTTAAGAATAAGAATGCTCTTTTCTTGAAGGAAGTCGAATTGGTTCGGAAATACTTCAGTGGGCAGCTGGTTCCATAGTGGTGGTGCGCAAAACTGCCTTAAGAAACGCTCAGTTGTGGAATGACGTCGTCCACAACTGACGTCGAGGTGATCCGGATGGTTTTTTGTAAAAAATCGGGGATAGAAAATATTAATACTTTTTAATGTTTCCTATTTCTCTGCACTAAACATTTTAACAGAATTTAGAGTGAGTCATTAGACTGAGTGTGTGAAAATGTCATATTTTTCATGGTAAGCCCAAAAGCCTTTTCACCTTCCTTAAAAAAAATAAGTAAAGTAAACAAAAAAGATTATTATTGGGCGCAGAACATCAATCTCAGGGACATTGTGTCCATACTAAACAAAATATGATTATTATCGTGGTTAGTGAAGGAACCTGTATCCTATGATATATTTTCGACGAAATAAAAATTATTTTTCATTGATCTCTTCGGTTGTCAAATTGAGTTAGATACCTTTTATGTACACCATAGCAGCTGCTTCGATGTCTTTCCGTCCGTCTATACTACCTCTGCACCAGTATTGGCCTGCGGATTGCTTCGTCACAGTCAGTGTTAGATTTGATGACTTGCCCACTATCTAAAACGTATAACACAGTGAAGGTAAAAGACTAATATAAATAATAATTAAAACCTTTATTCACTGACCGATGGTTGCAAATAAATCATGTTAAAAATACTCCTACTTTATACCGTGAATTTATCAATAATAATACGAAATTTAAACGAGAAACATTATACATATAGTTATACATTATCTCAACTATTGAATATTAGTGTATTAGGAATTTTTATTGGTATTTTTTTCATACCGTGGGTTACATTATCGAAGTTGTTATACGGATCCCTAACTTTTTTGGAAATATACTTTAGCCTATGATCATTGGGGATAATGTAGGATTCTAATGATAGAATAATTTTTCAAATCGGACCAGTAGTTTTTGAGTCTATTCAATGTAAACAAATAATCAAATATTTCCTCTTTATTACATTATAAAAACCTAAAGTATTTTTAAGTTAATGTATAACAAGATCGGGATGTAATCTCTGCACTGGGTACGTCAAACGACCAACCAAAAATTTCCAAGCATCGGAAGGGAAAATAATGCATATACTTACAATAATCCTATCATTTTCGTATCTAAGCCACAAAGTTTTCGGATGGGGGTGACCATCGACTGAACAAGTCAGTGTTGCCACTGTCCCCGCGTCGCCCTCCACGTTCTGCGGTTTACTCTTGAAGGAGGGACCGTCTGTGACAAAACAAAATTCCAGCAATTCATTTATGAAAACTACTTCACTATATTTAAATAAACCTTTGTTAATATATTTTAATGCGTATTCATTACATTAGTTACATAACCCGTCGTGTCGAGTGCTTTTCATCGATCGTGGTCAGTTGGAGACTGCTAAAAGCCTTCGAATCGTGTAAATATTAAAATAAATTCGTCCAATTAAATCGTCTGTAGCACAAACTAAACAACAAGTTTTTAACAAATATAGGTCAAACTTTGACAAATCGAACATGTCAATCAATCAAATACGTTAATTATTCAGTTTAGATGCGTCTTAGGGCATGATTATGAATGTCAAAAACGTTTACAAAATTCGCGAAAGAGCAAGACTACGCCATCCGTTCGCAAAACTACCATGAGGCAAGGCCTGAGAAGAACGGGAAAGAAACTCAGCAAATTTTACCGTCCATACATTTGGCAGTTTGTGGCTAGAATACTATTCGTATAACGTCAATTCATTCCGTTGCACATACACTGCCGAAGTGTTTAATATTTTATATATTGATAAAAACAGTGCTTATATATAATATGTATCTATAACACAAACTTGACAGTTTCTTAACAAATATACGTCAAATGTCACTTTGACAACTCGAACATACATTTGACAGTTTACAGCTAGAATACGTTCCGTATTATTCTAAAAACACTCAAGAAGTGATAAAGAATTTTATATATGGAAATAGTCTGTGCTTATTATAGCGTTGGCAAAGCTTAAATGCCGACTTCAAAGCTTTGTAATGTTGATATTGTGATGTTACCTACATTCAAAGCGCGTAACAAGAAATGCACTAGAAACTTAGCGGTAATATATTCGCGTTTATATCTATAAAATAACTACAACTACTCTTCCGACTCTTTCTGTTAAATATATTTTATGCTATTATGAAAAGAGACAGTTGGGTACTTAGTCTTTCTAGAATAGAGCTATTAAACTGTTTTAGTTTTTATCAATACGAGGGTCTTCGTATAATACAATTTAAATAAGTGAATATTAAATCCAAATTCCCGAGTACACAGTACTTGTAATGAGATTGAAAGTAAAATGAAAAGTATAATTGCTTATAATTACATTCTTCAGGTTTTAACTTCAACAAAAGAACTTTGTAATTTTCAACTTATTTTCTGCTTGACCTTTCGTTTTAATTATTTTACTTTTTACGCTTTTAACTGTGTTTCTTTTTGAAGATTTTTATGAAATTTTCAAAGACCTTTTTGCTTCCTATAAAAAATACATAAGTAGGTTTAATGCCTACCCACGTACCTAATATGTCATCACGGTTATTAGTAAATGTTTAAGGGAAATTTCTAAGGATTTCATTCGAAAAATTCTGTGTCGGTAAATCACAGCCTTTTTTTAGAACACTTTGTTCAGAACTGTTGGTACTATCCCGGTGAATATGTATTCTGTGGAACGCTTAACTTATTATAAAATTAACAAAATAAAATAAAGAAGGATGTGTGAGCCCTTGCAACTTGCCTTTCTTCGTTATTTACCCGTGTATAATATCTATATTGTTATTGAAATCACCGCTAAATATTAATACAATCATAAAGAACTTTAGACGATAAATTCATATAGGTATAGACGATAGTTACTTATAATTAGTTCATAAGTCTGCAAGCCTACCACGTAACTGGACCTACTCAATAATGGGTCAAAATTGTTTAACGATTTTAAACCGAGAATCATGACGAAACCCAAATTGAATGTATTTGTCAGACGTCGCAAACGTGAGATATATCAATAAAAAAAATCGATATTAAAGTTACGTAGTAAGCTTGCTGAAATGTGATTTTTTTAAATAAATATTTTTTGTCTTACATGTAACTTCAAAGGCCTTCGTGTCAGCGCTTTTCCCAACTTCATTGAACACCTCGCATTTGACAGTAGCACTGTTGTAGGTCCGTGTGATGTTTTTTATTATCTAAAAAGAAAATACATTATTGTATGTCACTCTTACTATTCATAACTGAAGTTCACATTTGTCTTTGTCGAATTTTATTTGACAAGATTTGAAAAAATTTGTTTAGTAGTAACTTTAAAAATTAGTTTTTTGTAATTTATTTTTTTGTAATTAGTAATTTTTTTGTTTAATATTTGTATGATCTCTTCGTGTTCGCTAATATAAGTGCTTGTCATATGAAAAATTGTATTTTGTGGTTCTTTTACCAATGTATCAGTGTGCCGAGCGTTGGCAAGCTTTTATCAATTAAAACAAAATGAAACGTTCATAATTTCAAGAACCCACGAAAACGCTTCTTTAAGCAAGATGGCGTCCAGTACCTACGACGTACCTACCATGCCAGTAATTGGTAATTTTTTTGCCTTAATTATTCAATCTTAAATTACCCAAATACTCATATGCTTCTAGTAAATATTTTTTTATTGTTTATGTAATAATGTAATGTACTTTTCGTTATTATATTTTGTTAAAAAATTTAGTACTTTGCTTGTTTGTTTGCTCTCGTCTAATCCAAATACTAGCAAGTAAGATAGTATTTAGATTAGACAGGCGTCGAAGGCATCTTCAGTCATTATCGTTTCGATTGACGTAAAAGCAATATTTTTAATTGGATAGTATGAAATTAGTGATCATTTAATTTATTATACTCCATAACGATTTTCAAAGTCATATACATATATCTATTCTGTTGACGCTGTCATGGAAAGAAACAAAACACTTCTATAGAAAATATTCCAGGAACATAATTATTTATACCTTTAAAATTATTAAATATGCACATCTCCTTTTGGTTGTAAAAGTTTTAAATATACATATAATAATAAATTTTCCTATGTAAGAATTAAATACGAGACCCCGCCCACCTTTAGCCTTTGTCTGTTATACTCAAATTTCAGTCAATTTTCATTAAAATTTAAGTATTTTTATCTTTATTTTTTTAATAAAATAATAATTGAAGTATTTTTGAAATACAGTTGTAAACCTCTTATCGTTGATTCTAGACGAAAAGTTATAACTCGAAAGACTTAATGCAGTATGTCTCAGTCACTAAGCTTTTGATCCTCTTACTGGTATGCTGAAAATTATATGAATCACCTACTGATGCAAAATATATGTTACCGACAGAACCTGAAATCTGATATTTGAGGTATGTACAAGTGACACAAATCTATGTGTTATTTTCAAAACTTAAATTACGTTCAAAAACGTTAAGTTTTAACCACAAGTTATTGACATTTACGCAACGATTCTTAAAAATAGAAACCTATTTTGTCAAATAATAGATTAAACTACGTAGTAAGAATATAGACCACGGACAGACCTCTGGGCTATAAATAGAGAGAGATCATTTTAAAAGTATTCGTCACGCATTATATTCGGTCATTCGCAAGTTCATATTGCAGTTTACTTGCCATTCATTACTTACTATGTGCCATGGTGAGCACTTCGTGGTACTAAATTAAAGTATAAAAGAATTCGCCCCAGGTATCATTGTGACATATAGAGCTGGATTATAGACATTTATTTCGAGGGGAAAGAGGAAAGGGGGATAGTATTTAGGGTTTAATATAGAGATTCTAAAAGTAGAGTCTCTGTCAAGTCCAGGGTCTGGAGTTTCGATTTTTTCAACAGCCCTCCTAAACGGTGATACTTAGCGGGATCGGATTTACTGCATCAGGTCAAAGATTGGTGACACAAATGGTGTGAATGTTTAAGTACAAAAACCCAAATACAAGTATTTCTTATAAAATGATATCCATCAAAGTTTTCTGTTTCACGAATTGTCGGTAACATACATATTGCAGATATTTTTCTGAGCCAAGAATATAAAAATATACTTTTGAGACGAGTATAAAGATGCGACACAGACGCTCTGGAAAATTACCATCGTAAATGTGAGGTGGATTATGGTTTTTAATAGTTTTTAAAAGCTTCTCAGCATTTTACAAGGCTATTGAAATAAGTATTATGCATGAGTTATAAAAACACTGTTAAAGGACTGGCTTCTAAACACACTTTACGCCGAGTTGGAGATGCTACTGAGACCTAACAGTTACACATTCATACACACACACTCACATGCACCCAAAAATAAGAAATTGTTGTAAACAGTTTTTAAATTTCGAAATTTTTATTGAAGGTAGAACCAGAACCAAAAATGACGCAGGGGTTTTTTACTTAAAAAGGTTCCCAAATCTTACACATTTTAATGTATAGTTACAATTAATAATCACTTTTTTATTTATTTATAACCTTGTGATTGTATTTTTTTTAAAACTAAGTACCTAATATTTATTGATGCCAGCATCCATGTACAATAGAGACAGAAATCGAAAGAATCGTTACGCTTTTGAAAATTTGTTTTCATTTTAATTGGCATTTCGTCTATACATCACGGTTCATCGGATGTGATCTTAAATCTAAGCCATTCTAATAATTAAATGCAAGTTTGATACACGGATGACAAATTGGCGCTGAAACTCGTCTCTTAATCTTTTATTATTATTATTATCTCTCTCTCTCTTATCTCTTTTAGGGCTGGAGTTTTTTCTCCACAAAAAAATGTCAAACTTGTAAACCAACTCAAAATTGAACTGATTAGAATTGTCTAGGATATGTACATAACGAAGACGTATGTGAACATTTAAATACATAATAATGATATAATAAGATTTTTGTATGGGTATTGTTAAGATTATGTAAAGTTCGATATATAATACAACAGTCATGATTAATTATTTTTTAGTAAAACTTACCAATTCATTCCCATAGGTTCCAACAACAGGTTCACTGTTCACATACCATTTGTATGTTAAATTATTTGGGTTCGCCATCGCTTGGCAACCTATAATAAAACTATTATTAGCACAACAATTTATTTATGCAGTATTGAATGAACACCATTTACGCAGTAACCAGTTGTCTATAGTAATGTTTAAAGGAGTGGAATAGATTGCACGGGCCTGCTGCCACAGTTGCTTAGACTATTTGTGTCTGAAAAGTATTTCAGATCCCGGAGGTTGTCCTGCTATCTGAATGGAGTACACTGTCTTCAGTAGTCACCAATTCCCCATATGATTTCACTACTTAACTGTTTACTAAGTTCTTTACCAGAATTGAATAATTGGGTTTTGAAAAAAAATTTTTGTGATAAATGAAAAGATCATATAAAAGTTTTAAAAAAACTATTTTTTTTTTTTTTTCAAAATTAATATTCAAAATAAAAATTAATATTTGAATAGTACCGAAACACAATCCAGCGTGTACGTCATAATGTTATTTTCACTTGATTGATAGAAAAATAATAAATACATTTTTAATCTATTTAATTTTTAATAATATAATATTTAATATATGAAATATATATATATAATATATAACATATATATTAATAGCCGTTCTTAGTAAATTTAAATTATGATTAGTAAGGTGTGTGTATTTTTATTTAAATTATATTAATAAAAAAAATTTAATTTTGAAAAAATATAAAAGTTTTAAAAAAAAAAAAAAAAAATTTAAAACCAAGCGACAAGTTTGGGAATACTAAGAGTTGAATGTAAGTTGTTTTTTTAGTAGAAATAAAATTTAAACATTATAATAATAATATAAATTATAAAACGTTACAGGGTTTACACAAAGTCTGAAGCTACTAAACATATTATAAATATAGTTTTCTAGCTACACTGTTCTTGAGAATTAATTTATACGTATTTACATATTTTAGCCGTGTTCGCCGAGTGGCTTCAGCTTGCGACTCTCATACCTGAGGTCGTAGGTTCGATCCCCAGCTGTGCACCAATGGACTTTCTTTCTATGTGCGCATTTAACATTTGCTCGAATGGTGAAGGAAAACATCGAGAGGAAACCGACATGTCTTAGACCCAAAAAGTCGATGGCGTGTGTCAGGCACTGGAGGCTACTTGCCTATAAGATTTAAAAATGATCATGAAACAGATTTATAAATCTGAGGCCAAGACCTAAAGAGGTTGTAGCGCTACTGATTTTTTTTCACATATTTTTATAACCACAATCAAATGAATATTATATTCCCAAATCACTTAAAAACTACATCTAAACATTAGAAGATTCTCTGATTAATGACAAATAGTGAATTAGTGCCGTAAAAGACAAACCTAAAACAACTGTATCGCCTTCATGAACTCTGTTTGAACCAGTCTTGAAATGGATTTTCACTCTCGGCGCGAATTGAACCTGGAACAACATAGTTAAAATAAAATATCATCGTGACTAATGTAGTATTTTTTTTAAATGAAATTCTTAACTAACATCGGGTGTTCGCTGGCCAACAACCAGGCTGTGAAACAATAGTTTTTTTGTTATATTTGCAATAACACTTGCTAACGGAAACCGTTCTTGATATGGAAATGTCTCAACTGGAAACTAGTCGTGGAGTATACAGTCTTTCAAATCAAATTAAAATTCATTTATTCATATATTACGATTTCCAGCTTCACAAAGGTTTTATTTTTCAGTCTCTGTGTTTCATATAGTTTTTGAAAATAACTTTATGAATTGTATTATTATTAAAAGTGAGCAGTGTTGGCCTAGTGGCTTCAGCGTGCATCTCTCCTGATGTCGTAGGTTCGATCCCCGGCTGTGCACAAATGGACTTTCTTTCTATGTGCGAAATGCGCATAAAAAAAGGTGGGAGCTTGTAGTTTATTGTTTATGCCAAATCATAAAATGACTGCTTCACGACTGATTTGAGAGCAACCGCCGATGCGAAAACCGCTGTGTGAGTTCGAAAATTGAGTTACAGAATCGCAGGGCTGTGATGATAAAAGATAGATGAGTATGTGGAAAAACGAAGGTGCTGCTATTCGTCCGACCTTAAGGAGGAATACTAGGCTACAGTTACACTGACCCTGGTGCGAAGGCCCGACTGGCTAATATCGAGAAGTTATTTTGTTTTAGCGGTCGGAGTTCGTAAGTGCCTTTCCGGTTAAAGCCATATAATGTAGGTGTTGCTACAAGGTCTTAGTTAAAACGGCGTAGTAAAAGTTTTATAAATGAAATAGTGTAGTTGTAACGATCTTACAGCTCTAAATTTGGAACTAACATAAGGTACTGACTACTGATATATTGCCCTTCAGAATTGCTATTTTGCATGTTGTACATATACAGTTATATGACTTCTTACTCGCGCATATTTATGTACCTTAGTCGTTCACATATACATCAAAACTTAAAGGTTTTAACATAACACTGTACTCGGGTAAACCTAAGCATTTAAAGTACGTAAATTCAGTTAAAACTTTCCGAACATTCCGCTCGGAAACGTAGATTTAACAACCTTAACTATTTAATTCGATTTGAACTAGACTGAAATAAAATGCATGTATTTAACACCTACTCTATGGAAATACAAGATTCTGAATATATTGTTTGCGCATCATAAAAAACATAACATTTTAAATCACCATGAAAATTTACCTGTGAAATGAACCAACATGAATTACGCTTAGAAGGCTATTACTATATCAGAAAATAACTCTAAGCACTATGCCGACATTTCTGAGCGGTACAGGTGCGTGAGTGAATGGAATTTCTCAGGTACAAATGAAGAATTACGACTAATTATTAATGTACGGCTTTTTTATAGTGTATAAATGATTAAAAATAAATGCCGAAAAACCTAGTGCCGTATTAAAGTGGTGGTGCCGGAAGTCAGTGCAAATTTTTAATTCGACGAAAAAGTAAATTATTTTTATTTTATTTTTTGTATATAGTTAACGAAATAACCTTCAACTTAAAAATACTATAATATAGCAACATGCAATCTTTTTAATTTAGTAAAAAAAATAACTTATTTATAGGTAACCTATCGCTAATCCATTGCATACTGAACATTCATTTAAAAATAATTGCATCAAAAAAACATATAGCTGCAGCTATAAGTAAAGTCAGTCAAAGCAGTCAATTAAGTTTACCTGAAAAATATAAATTCAACAGCGAATAAAATTATCCATCGCTACAACCGTAAAATGAGCAGTGTTGGCCTAGTGGCTTCAGCGTGCGACTCTCATACCTGAGGTCGTAGGTTCGATCCCCGGCTGTGCACCAATGGAATATCTTTCTATGTGCGCATTTAACATATGCTCGAACGGTGAAGGAAACCTACATGTCTTATACTCAAAAAGACGACGGCGTTGGTCAGACACTGAGGGCTGATCACCTACTTGCCTATTAGATTTAAAAATGATCATGATACAGATTCATAAATCTGAGACCAAGATCTAAAGAGATTGTAGCGCCACTGATTTATTTTACAAAGGTAAAATATAAAGAACTTAATCGACACATAAGCTTTCAATGTATAAAACACTTTTACACTTTAAGCTAATCTATGTATGGCTTCGTCTAGACTCGTGATATCCATTTTAGTGATTAACGCTTCAGGGTAGGGGCGTGTACCCTTTTAAAATTCAAGTTTTTCCCTTCGTATTGGGGGAAAGTAGTGCTTTATAGAGGAGTTAATAAAATCAATAATTTTTATGGTTTGCTAAGCAAATGGAATAATACTTATAACAATTAACTTATTAACATTGCACCCAAAAAGAGTGCAAACTTTAGCGCTTAGGGAAGCTTTCCGTCAACAGAGATTTTACTAAAATAATCAGGATAAATTAGAGAGATAGAGGACAAACAATATAGAATGAGTTTGAGAAAAAAAACACATACGATTTATAGAGGAGATTGTAAAAGATATTTCGTAAACGTTTCAATTGTAAGAGGCAATTGGTCATGCGTATTAGAATTCTATACCTTAAAAAACTAAATTAATTGAAAATGTCGCTGAAATAAAGGAAACTTCACTAATTAAACGTATTTATGCTAACAATACAAGTAAAAGCTTATAAGAAAACGTTGCTTACTTTAAGTAACTAATTAAATTGAGAACGTAAAAATTCAACTCAATCAGTAAATTAATTAATTTATTTTCTTGTATTAAGTCTCTATCTTGTATTAAGAATATATCTTATTTTTTTGTCAACAAATTAGGAGCGGAAATAACATAGTTGGTATTTGTACTTTGTAGCTTCTATTCATATTTCTATTATAATTTGCGTCTTGCACAAGATTACATACAGTCATGTTTGTATATGTCAACGTAAAATTGTTAAAACCGTTAGATTGTAATCTATCTCGCGAGATTGTAAACTGTCGAAAAATTGTGAACTCAACGTATTGCTTACAATTTAACGTATTATTATTCGGTAGATTATAATCTATCGAAGTGAAATCGTCAAATTGTGAAACGGTACGCACCTCGCGCGCTGATTGGTTGAACGGAATATGCCATGGTGGCGACCATATTTGTTGTTAATTCGTTTGTTGTCGAATGTAAACAAACGGTGTTTTGGTGAATGTAAATTGATGTCGTCTTGAAAGTAACTCACAGCTTTAGGATGTTGAAAGTGAACGTGAAAAGTTATATGAAAATGTTGTGGAAGTAAAATTAATCTGTGATTGACCAAAGAAGTGCAGTTTGAATGATAATTAAGTTAGTGTTGGTCTCCAAACATAGTCTAAATTACATACATTTTCCGTGTTTTAATATTTTTTTATTCGCGTGAACCTTTGTGATCTCGTATTTACAATGTCGGATATTGAGCCTGTCGATCAACAAAACTCAGAAATATTAGGTATTGTTAATAAGAAAGAATTTACCATAAAGTTACAAAACTATTACAGCGGGCATAATGAAAATAGTAAAAAATTTAATTGCAAAAAAATAAAAAGAAAGCTAATGTCCTTTGTAACTCCAGGTGCCACAACTCGTTGACGTGCAACAATAATTGAACATTTTTATTGATGCAATTTACTTTCTTATTTTTTATATAATAGACAATTTTGTTATGTTTTCAAAAACGTTCATATGTTTTCGATTTGTTTTTTTAAATTTTGATTTTATTCTGTGATCGTTTTTTCTAAAAGAAAATTTCATTAATTTTTCAATTTTAATTTGTTTTGAAGAGAAAATATTGTTACGTTTCTGATTTTTTTATTTTGATATATTTTTTTTCATCATGTGATGTCAGAATTATTGATATAATAAATACTAATTTTTGAAGTGCATTCATTTTATTTGACCGATACCCTTGTTTCATTCCTAACTCTATGGACATAATATAACGGTCTACTATAAAGCCGACCAATCAGCGCGCGAGGTGCTTACCGTTTCACAATTTGACGATTTCACTTCGATAGATTATAATCTACCGAATAATAATACGTTAAATTGTAAGCAGTTCGTTAAGTTCTCAATCTTTCGACAGTTTATAATCTCGCGAGATAGATTACAATCTAACGGTATTTACAATTTTACGTTAACATATATATTTCATTGCTCGTGACATAAACCTGTCATTCGTTTTACAGCCGAAAGGACTTCTTGTAAAAAGCAATCAACACAAAACCGACAAACCTTTTTCATTAATCATCAAGGATGGTATTACGCGGTTTGCACACGAAAAGTCGAATTAGTGAACCCTAGTTTAGTGGCCAATAAAACTCTTACGACAATGTAGTTTGTACAAATGAGAATGTTTTTATTGAGAACTAGAATTACTATATATTTGTAAAAGTATATTGGGATGGGGCCTCGTTAAAGCGGTTTTCAAAATTCATATTTCAAAATATGCAAGCTTTGAGCACTCAGTTTTGTAAGTCCTTATTCTTAAAAAATATTTTTATAGCATCGTCATAACTAAAGTATCTATCTTTTTTCATTTCAACATAAATTCAATTTGATAGAAAGAGATAAAAGAGTACTTCAGTTGAAAGAGGGCAATCATATTTTTATCATTTCTTAAATATTAGGGCAGAATTAAAACACTAAAGTTAGAGATGTTAAGTTAGTTTCGTTTTTAAGTTCTATTTATTTATTTACACTTCGTTACATTTATAGAAAAACCAACAAAATATTATGTGTTAAGTGCAAAAAGCGCATAACCAAATCATATAAAAACAAACCGTAATCTAAAATAATAATAAAAAATAATAAAATAAACTAAAAATTAAAAAGCTAATCTCACAGATTCATGAATTGCGATGCAATTCAAAAGAATAAGAAATATTATTAATGAGGTGTATGTTAGCTATATGTATATATATTAAAATTGAATTCTGCTATTTTAGTAATCACACAACGATGCAATTTTAGATGTAAATCTATGTTAACTTACCCTAACCATTGAAAGGTGCTTCATTTATTTTGATTTTTTGACAGAATATATTATCGAGATCACCATTCATAGCAAATTCATTCAAATATTTAACTTCCAAGTTCGCATAGAGTGGATAGAATACCTAAATTAATTATTTTTAAGAACCATAGAGACTGATCAAACGTTTGGTACAAAATTCACAACACATTTTTGCATTGATACAGTTGCATATTTAAAAAAAAAACAATGCTTTTATAAAGACTTCTTATATAAAGAGACATCGGCCAGTTCCAATACCATTAAACGTAGTAAAGACTAAATAGGTTTTTATCATAAAGAATAGATGAATACTTGGTGATTTTACGACCTCTACGCAACATGAAGTCTGATAGTAAAACTCCAAGGGAGTTTCACAAGTAAAGTTCTGTATAGCATGGGGAAAGGATCGTTTTCTTTAATTTTGTTGCACGATGTGCTTTTAATATATAATATAACCAGCGAGTATTAGAGTAGTTCAATTCCCGGATAAATCAAAATAAATATTTTGCTTCTGAAAGCAAATATGTATATAATATTACGAAGTCTATTAGGTGGGCTGAAAAGTTCAAAGGTGGCGCAATTTCTTTTTTTCTTTTCACTTGAACGGTCGAAAGTGATAAGGCCGACAGTTGCATTCCATTTTATTTAATTATACTTGTGTTAAATTAAATTAGCCCTTACCTTATATACGTATTAAAAAATTGTATGACCGCTATAATTGTGGTATCGCTCTCGGAGTTAACTATATTGAATAAGCAAATCAAATTCTATCAAAAAGATTTTTTTCTATGTTAGCCTACGAATTTTTGAGCTCAAATGTAACATGGAACATAAGGTTTTGCATATTTCAGTAAAAGATAACACATATATTGACAAGTTATGATAACTTATTACAAGCATGTACTGCGAGCAAAGCCGCAGCAAAGAACCAGTCGGTATAAAGAGAAATAGGTTTTTATGGAGACTTGCTACTTGATTCTTTATCAAAATTTTATGCTCATCAAAGAGATCATAAGCATCCCCTAAAAGAGCAACCTCATTCCAATAAAAACGTCGTAAATTCCGTCCAATTCAAAGACAATCAATAAATAGAGAGCCGATTTTGCACACATAAATTAAGCTTAACCAATAAACGAATAAAAGAAACGTAATAAAGAAACAGACGGTAAAAAATCCCGACCACAATTTTTTTCCCTCGGAAAATTCCCGTAACCGTCCAACGTACGCTGACCTGGCTGCTTACGGTAATTATAGGGGCGGCTTGGGTCTTTTGCTGATGGGGGAGGTCAGGCTAATCTGGTCCCTTGTCTGCTAAAGTGAAAATAAGAGCGTTGTAGTGTTCTAATTTCGTGACGATACGCCAGAAGGCTCGGACAGAACATACTTTGTGACAGATTATTACGCCTTAATGAAACGTGTTGGAATAACATAAGATCGCGACTTTTGTATGGAATAACAAGTATGTGATATGTGTTGTGGTCACAGATTAGGTTATCGATGCGTCAATAGTCTGTGGTTTCAGATTGACAATTTAAATTGTCTGTGGTGTCAATTAGGGTAAATTAAGGCTGTAATGTGTTGACTTACGAACTACTATATTTGCGTGATTTTGATATGGAGTTTCAATTTGATGAAAGAATAAAGCATAAAAGCCTGGTTGTAGTTTTTTAAAAGAAAAAATATCAATAAAATAAATGCGTTTGCCAACTAGGGAAGCCAAATTTACGAGGATATTAGTTTTTTTTACATAACAATCAGAGGGCAATCAGGCCGGAAGCTCAGCTGATGTTAATTGATACCACCGCCCATGGACACTCAATGTCAGAGGGATCGCGAGTACATTGCCGGCCTTTTAAGAGCGTTAATGTATTAAAAATTAAGTATAATATTAAAAACTGTATTAGACTATTATAATTAAATTAGTAGTATATTAAACAAAAAACAAATTTAAAAATTGTCTGCTAGCTAAACTTTCTATCTAATACTGTAGTAAGTAGTATTTAAACCGAAAATGAGGTAAAGGCAAGCAAGAGATCAGCTTCATGTGTTAAATACATTGACCCGGTAATTTAATTAGTATAAGTAAACAAAAGACAAAAAAAACAGTGGCGCTACAACGCTTGGTATTTGCCTCATATTTCTGTGTCTGTTTTGTGATTTGCTATCCTAATATGCAAGTAATCAGTCTTCTGTGTATACGCCCTCGACTACTTGGGTCTAAGTCTGTGCTCTCCTCACGATGATTTCCTTCACCGTAGGAGCGACTGTTAGACGCACAGAGAAAAGTTGGTGCGCGTAGTTAAATTAAACGACCTCAGGATAATAGACTCGCTCAATGTGTAAAAGCCAAATTAAATGGCTTCGAAACACGGATCTCATAAAATGAATTAAATATAAAGAATTCGTTTTTGCGAAGAAACCGCGACAATGGCTCGCTTAATCGATTTGGTTCGATATCGAAACGATTAATTACAATGCAGTATTCAAATCGACAGAGATTAACTGTAAAATTTCCCCTTCGACTTTACCACCAAACTCAATCAAAGTAATAAATCTTTAAGAACTTTACTTACAACTTTTCCTCCCAATCCATTAGGTATAGCGATGTTTTTACGAGCGAATGGATTTTATAATCGAGTTACCGATTCGATTGTTGAATCGAATAATCGTTCGATTGTCATTTTTATTGCGTTTTCGTACCTATAACTTATGAAGCCAGTGTTCAAGGGATATTTTGCTATTATTTTACGAACATGTAAAATTTTTTTCTGCGCAAAACGGGAAGATTTTTTTTATGTCACGAAATTTAATATTTCTGTACTTTTTGTTTGCGCCTAGTGACTTTAGCAACTCTCATTCTTGAGGTCGTAGATTCGATCCATGGCAGTGCACCATTGAACTTTCTGTATATGTTCGCATTTAACATTCGCTCGAACCTTAGACGCAAAATTTATGTGGCAGGCACAGCAGGAACCTACTTGCCTATTTAAAAAAAGATATCAACACATACTTAAATCTAGCCCAAAACACGGTTATTATGAATATTTTCCACTACCATCTTTGTTTCTTAAATAGTATCTCAAAACATTACCTTGAAACTATGGAGTTTTCTCGACACGGCCAATTGCCCACATCGACTTCTGTTTTAATTAGTGTAAGTCCTTAATTCATAAGTGCAATTTGTTAAAAACTTTGTGACATATTTAATTCCTTACGTAACAAAAATAATAATACAAAAAATAAATTTTCCGAAACTTTGACAAGACAAAGCCAAGGCTTTGTGACTTCACGTCTCACGTGTTTGTTAGTTTCAAATTTTTAATTTATTTAATTATTACCTTATAAAAGCTCCCTTTTACTCACTAAACTAATGCTTTAAGAAATTTCACATTACGTCTTGACAAGCGGAGGGAGCTTGTAGTTTATTGTTTATCAGAATGCCAAATCGTAAAATGACTGCTTCACGACTGATTTGAGCGCGAAAACCGCTGTGAGAGTTCGAAAAGTGAGTTACATAATCGCAAGGCTGTACTAAAAATTATAATTGTTTGAAACAATAAATTATTCGAACCGCTTATCCTAAAAAGCGTGTTTCGATGTTCGCTAAAAATGGCATAATTTGGCGCGGCGATTAAGCAGACGTTTAAGATTTTATGCGAAAAGTTTGCTAGAGCGGACCATCTTGTTTGCATAATTTAAGTGTTATGCTTAACGTAGTCAGCACTGAAGATATACAGAATATTTTGTATTTTAAAACTTTATCTAAGATTTACGAAAGTTATAATTTATAAAATGCAATTTATTAAAGTGAATGAAAATATCTGTGCATTAATAATCTTTCGAACGATTAGTTGGCGCCTCAGATCACAGCCGTTTTTTTCATCACATGTTTTTTAAAGCAAATACATAATTCAGTGCCTGACAAACGTCATTATTTTTGAATTAAGAAGGTTTCTTCACGATCTACCTTCACCATATGAGTGTTTATTGCACACATAAAAAGAAAATCCATTGACGCACTTCCGGGGTTCAACACACCACCTCAGGGTTGCGAGTCGTTCGCTTTTTTAAAATCTTCAAATATTGCTGTATGTGATGTGTATTGTGTACACATATTGATTTATTGTCTATTCAAAGACTATATAATACTTAATGTAAGTAGTCTGTGCATCTGTCATCTTATTTATATATAATCTGTAAAATATTTCTTAATTTTAATTAATTTTAATCTAGTCCATAACGATTAGCCATCCAGACTTATAAATGAAAAAATATAATTTTAGATTTACCTTTATCTTAATTGTAGTCGCCTTATAAGCTCGATCTGCTGTATTCTGTGCTTGACATATAAATGTCTGATTATGATGTTGCCTCCGTGGACGCAAACGTAGTATAGATCTGTAAAATTAAGTATATAATAATAAATTATATATAAGCAATTCTAAAAAAATATTAAATTTCCTAATAAACAATAATTATCAATTAAATCAGTCTCAAAAGACCGTTTAAAGCAGGGCTTGCTAAGAATGAAATATTCACCCTACCTGCACTTACTTTTACAAAGAAGGAAAACATCGTATAGCATATCTTAGCCAAAACGTCAGTATCAGTCACAAAAACAAAAAAAGGCCTATAAAAAAATAACTTCAATATGAGCTGCCTAGGCCTAGGCCTGCCTTGATTACAAATCAATATGTAATATATTTTACCTTGCTGTATACCGTCTGCCGTCAGACATTTCTTCCACAGCGTACGTCACTCCCTGGCTAAGCACGCCGCCCTCGTTATCGACCCATGTTATCTGAAAGTTAATTAGGAATTATTTATAAAACAGATAACGATTTAGTTAATATACAAAAGTTTATGGGTGGGTACATTTTTGATCTACTCACGTTTTTTCTGACAGCAGCTAAAGCGGCAATTTTGTCTGAACTGACGGGTCTGAGACTGAGACGCTTATGGACTACGCTTTTCCGCGACAAATATCTTAATGGTTTCGTTTAAATTCATTTTACGGGTTAAAAATGCTATTTTTAGTTTTATTTGTAGACTGGATATAAATAATGTATGATTATGAATTTGTCTAAAACATCGAATGTTAGTATATTAACAAATTGAATATCATTGTCCTTGCATACATGTATAACTATTTTGGAATTTCATTACTTTTCAAACACACATTACTTTATATATAATAAATTGTTAGGCAATTTCTAGTTCTAGTTTGTGCTATAATTTTAATCATATTTTAAAAAGAATTTGGGAGGTTACCTCAGCAGCAGGTTTGCCCCCAACAGAGACACACTCTAAGTCAACATCGCGCTCTTCCACTGCATTCAGTACTGGTCCCTTCAGTATCTTCGGAGGTTCAGGTGGTACCAGCACCGTTAGGCGAGCGTATCTAGACCGGATTGCTGCTTCACCTGTTGAAAAAGCCGGGAGATAAGTGAGTTTCTATACCTTATGGCTGTTACTGTAATAGAGTATATTATTACTTCTATAATGAAACGAATTGGAGGGTTTGGAGTTAGGAAACGACGTTTCATCACTTCATTATTTCAAAAATTGCTTTTTGGTCGGCGTTTTATGACGTCATTAAAGTCAGAAATAATATTGTCTGAGTATATGACGACAGACTAGATTGACGGTTTTCTTAGAATGCGTAAAAAATTATTACAAACAGTTTTTGTATAACTTTTGCATACGCAGTTAAATTAAACTCTTCTTTTAAGATATCAGAATTCCTAAAACGGAGTAATTTTCATCACATAGAATGTAGCCGAAAATTATAAAATCGCAAACAAGTTAGCAATGTAAAAAATGCGAATAGCTGGTCACCCAACAAATGCGAGCGGGAATTTTTAGTTGAGTATCTGTGGTATTTCACTGGTCTCTGTAAAATAAACATCTCCAAAAAGTTTCAAATCGAGTTTTGTAAAATAAAAGTTTTTGTGCCAATTCTTTACACCAGTGCTTAATGAACTTGTAATATATAATCACAATTTTAATTTACATTATTCACGTGTGTCACCGGATATTCGGTTTCAATATCCATAATACCAAAGACATTTTAAATTGTCTTTGTTAATACGAACTGTAAATTATTGTTAAATGTAGAAGACTACATGGGACAAGCAGACACAACGCCTAAACAAAGCAACGCAGTAGGGACCTTAGGCCAACACCGCCAGTTCCATAAAAAATTGGCTAAAAATAGTGTTTTCTCTATCGGGTTATGTATTGAGCCAGCTTAAAACTCATTAGCCCTTTAGGAACGTCATCCGCCCGTCTTCTCGTCAACGGTACGTCGACAGGGTTGTTTCGGCTCACTAGGGCCTCTCCTACTGGATTCAGGTCTACAGCCTGTTTATGGTCATAAGCGACTTTGAAGAACTTTTATATCTACTTCGACAAACGTATGGTTGTTTACACGGGTACTTTACTATATCTACGAGTCATACGTTAAAAACGTTACAGTTTCGGAAATTGATATGCACATAAGAATAAGTCAATATAAATATTTCCCAAGACCTCCACTATGTACAAATTGTTCGTTCACCACTAAATTACGATACTAATTAAGAACCTTTAATCTGTACGCAGCTGAAACGTTTTACCTTGTACGAGTATTTTATGAAAGGCAGACATAGACGCTATGTAAATGTGGCTGGTGGAGAATCCTTTTTTAACTTATTTCATGAACCGAGTTTCGCACCAACCCTCCCGCACTTAAAGAACTCTAGGTATCTCGGTCATGCGTCTGTTTCATCCAGCTTACGATCTCGCAGCCGTTTTAGTAATGTCTTCGGCCCGATCTCGTGAGCGGTGGTCATCAGTTTCTTTTTCCAGAACGCCTTGGCGGCCACGGGGAGCTGGAAGGTCCACTAGACCGACGGATAGGTCACCTACGCTTTGACTCACCAAACAAGCTGCTCTTACACACGTTTACATACTTCGAATGCATAGGACATTACACTTACTATACTACAGTATGGCAAAAAATACTTATATAAAGCATCAAACAATATGTCCAACTTCTATTTCCCACGACTTCCAACTATGACTAACGCTCTGTTCAGAGTTCACCGGACTGAATTAAGAGTACTATAATACATTTATAAAATAAGATAGTAGGCTCTATAATAAGATATAGGGATGTTTGTCGTTGGTCAGACAGTGAGGACTAACTGACGCAATATCCAGGCACACTACATCTAGGTAAAATAAATTAAATAGGCTGCTTTAACTATATAACAGTAACAAGTGGTCAACTAAAACAAAAAATAATTGTTATCGAATCTACTACCTTATGCTGGTTTTGGATGCGATCTGGAAACCCTAACACGCGTATTGTAAACTAAAAAATGGGTTAATAATAATAATAATCGTTTTTGCAAAGAAAGTGGTACAATCAGATTGATTAATTGTAAAAATCCGCACAGCCACATAAAATAGGCATGCAAATGTCATATTAATTATCATTAATTTAAAATCAGAACATTTAAGTTATTTGTATTATTTGTCGTCAAGAATTGTGGTCTAAATACTCTCCCACGCTATAAAGACACATCTTACACATTATAATGAATTGTTTATAATGAATAAACATATTTTTGTTTTACTTCATGATATTTTTAATACACCATAAAACGCTTTGATCTGCGTTAACTGTATCTGTGTTAATGCTATAAGTTCGAAACTGTTGGATACAGCCAGAGCCATACTGATCTGCCGTCCAATCCGTCTGTAGCACAACGCGTGGTGTACAGTTCGATCCGGCAATTGTTGTGACGTACGCTTGAAGTATTAAGCAGGTACCTCGGGGATGACAAATAATTCAAAATGGCTTTGGATGGAAGCAGTACAGGTTTCTCACGATCTTCGGCAACACCATGTTTATGGCAGTTAAAATGTGCTTACAAACCGTAATTTAAATCTTAATGAACGTCGTGCAGATTCTTTCGGAAGACTTCTTTGTGCTATTTTAGTTAATTGTTAGTAATCTTCATTGATAATACTAAGTTTAGTTTCGCGTCCATTTGGTACTTTTTAAGACGTTCAAGGATAGTTTTCTTGTTTCTATTTAATGGGTAAATCCCTTTTAATTGAGATCCAACAGTCTTTTTACAGATGATTTACCAAATAACCTAACGTCCTATAATTGTATCTTTCTACATAAGGCTAAAACTAATAAAACTTTTAAATTGACAAGGCCATACCATAAACGATCTAAACTCTCGAGAAGGATTGATTCACGTTTTCTGCAGAAACGAAAAAAGTCTGAGTTTAGCTATTAGATCAAACGTTAAGTAGAAGCCCTATCCCGCACTAATCTGCTGTGTATCAGTGTCTTAGAAATGCCATTGACTGCGGTGCGCCGGCCCGTAATTAGTAACAAATTAGTTGATAACTAAAACAATATATGGTAATACAATTTTATTTGCAACAGTTTTAATTTTCATCGAAATGGCGTTGACTTAGGCTGGCGATAAAATAGATAAACTGTAAAGTTTCAAAATCATGTTTCTCATATACCTTTTCGTCATAAAATGAATTCAAAGTGTCTTTAAAAGGATTCGCTTATACTTGTACTTTTTGATTGTTAATTTTAGTCGATCGTCAAGTTAAGTTAATACTTTTGTTGTCTAATTATGGATCTTTCAAAATGGATACAGTTTTAAAGCGCTGACTTCAACTCCACTATATAATCTTTTTCCATACGCCACTAATTCAAAAAACGATGACGAAAAATGGAAAGAAACAATGTACTGTTTGATTTCTAGAGTCTAGTTTGGCGACCAGATAGGTCCTTAACAGTGAAACAAACATGGCTTATTGTGTTCTGCTATCGAAGATCGCTCTTTTTGGTCGGTAGCTCATGTCTAAGCGAGGAAACATCTGCAATGGACTATCTGTTTCCACCAGTTTCTGTCCAGCGCCTCTCTTATTACAGTGTACAATTTTGAGCACAACCAGTTACTTGATAGGTCTGTATGTCAAAGGACCACGTGATCTTTTGCCTTCTGTAACCACGATCAGTTTCTTAAAGTTCTCTACTTCTGCGCATTGTCTGGCTGAAATATGATGATTCGTCGTCGGCATATGGTAGACAGTCGAGTTCCTATATAGAGTTGGATCAAGATCTATGCATTGGTGCCCTTTGCAGTCTCATTAAAAGACAGGGGCAGACAGGGAGTACTAGAGCCCGTATCAATCTTATTTTGGTTTTGATACCAATTTCTCTTTTCTTTCAGATTATGCTTAAATGTGTCATGAATTCTTTTGACAATTTGACTTTGTAACAGTGCTGCCGTCGTTAGACATTTTTTTTATTGATAAAAGCTTGCCAACGCTCGGCACACTGATACATTGATAAGAGAACCACAATATACATTTTTTAATGTGACAAGCACATAAAGGCAAATATGATATACACAAAGAGATAATACATAATATTAAACAAAACAATTAAAATTACAAAAACTAAACGAAAATCGAAATCCAATTGACACACAAAAACTTTCTGGCCCGATCTACTATCATCATCTTTGCTTGGTATTAAAGAAGATACGTGAACCTTATATAATTAAAATGATAAGGATGATTTCTCGTATAATATATAGCAGTTAGTATTAGTTCATGCCGGCTGGAAAGCAGGTGTATTAAACTTTTTCGTTTATCTTCTGTCTATTGACTGCTTTTGTTTATTTTACTCCAAAAAGCTTCCAAATTAGTTCCACATTTGAGAAAATACTCGTTACAATTATAGTGTACTAGCTGACCCGGAAAACGTTGTTTTGCCATGATTATTTCTAAGAAGAAAAATAACTATCTTCTATAATAAAAAGTACAGGTTGATCGCAGGGGTGAAAATTAAAGGTTGTATGTATTTTAAAAAATTTCATCGGACACCTTTTATCACTTAGGTGTTTGAAAGATAGATAGTAGCCGATTCTCAGACTTACTGAATATACATTAAAAATTTCATAAGAATCGGTCGAGACGTTTCGGAGGAGTATGGGAACGAACATTGTGACACGGATTTTATACTAGGTATACTAGCTGACCGGGCAAACGTCGTTTTGCCATATATATCATTTATAATAAAAAAATAGGGGTTGATCGTAGAGGGGTGAAAGTTTGGGGTTTGTATGTATTTTTTAATGCTGTATCATAAAAAAATAAAAACAGAAAAAATATCTAAAAATAAAAAAAAAACAATATTTAGGGGTGGACTACCCTTAACATTTAGGGGGATGAAAAATAGATGTTGTCCGATTCTCAGACATACCCAATATGCACACAAAATTTCATGAGAATCGGTCGAACCGTTTTGGAGGAGTATGGCAACGAAAACTGTGACACGAGAATTTTATATTTAAATTTTAAAGATATAATGTAACGACTCGCTTCGTTGACGTTC